AGGTAAAAAGGGAGGTTTTATTTCAACAAGTACTTTGCAAACCCTGGAGATGCTAGGAAACAAAAGTGCACTCAGAAGGAAAGAAGAGAGGACCTGGCTCACACAGAGAAAATTCTCACCCAAGTTGCCACTCTGGTCTGCTATACAAAAGAGAGATGTAAGCCTTGGGAAGAATTCAGCCCTGACTGGTTGGTATTTAAATTTGACTGCAGGTCACAGCTCATTGGTCAGATCCCAGTAGTGAAATGGGACATTCCTCAGGCTGCTTATCTTGGCAGTTAGAATAGGAAAACTATCAGGCAAGAGCTACGAAGTTCAGTTTGTGATTCTTCCAAGAACACAGAGTACATGTTCAGCAAATGGCTACCAAGCACCATTTTGAATTTAGGCCCTCAATCCATAATCATAGGCAGGGGCACATAAACCATGGCACCAACTATGGCATTACATTTGTTTGGCAACAGTAATTGGCTCAAGAGGTGGCTATGTGTCTTGGCCTTAGCTGGTTTCAGTACCAAGATTGGGAAATGGTTTTGATCACCAGAAACTGGTAATTGGGACTGCAAAGAACCTGAATAGATGAATTCCAGAGTAACCCTTATCTTCAAGTAGCTTCTGCATCCCTTCACACTTCTCTTAGCAACATTCCTAGAATTTAGTAGGCTAGGTCAGGTATCCATTTGTCCTGTCATTTAATTATTTCTTCAGGCTGCACTCTATTGGGAAGATCTGTACATGTAAGTTGAGTAAAAATTTTATGTTTTTCTATTATTAACCAATACTTCTATTAATTAGGTTCCTATATCCAGTCAAAGAACCCACATAAGTACTTAGGGCTCTTTCTCTCACTCGTTCTTTCTCCACCCACCATGGGCAGTTTAAAACAACAGAAACTTATTCTCTCACAGTTCTAGAGGCTACAAGTCCAAATCAAGGTGTCATTAGGGGTCTTTCTCTCACTCTCTCTCTTTCTCTCTCTCTCCCTCTCTCTCTCTCTCTGAAGGCCCTAGGGGAGGATCCTTCCTTGTTTCTGCTTAGCTTCTGGTGATTGCTGGCAGTCCTTGGCCTTCTTGACTTGTAAATGCCTCACTCCAACCTCTGCTTCCATTATCACTGGTATCCCACTCTGTGTCTGTTCCAATTTCTCTCTTCTTACAATCCAGTTATTAGACAATCTGGTATAGTCCAAGGCCCCTAAGTAAACAATGACATCTTTTCAACCATGACATCCCAAGAGTTTAGCTATCACCCCCCAGGAGCCAAGGACAAAGACCACATCTTTCTTTGAGTAAAGTTAATTCTTTACCACACAGATTCACTCTCCAAATGGTCTTTCCACATAGTGGGAAAAATGACCATTAACAAACCCCAAATCAACAACAACTATAATAGACAAAACTTCTGCCTTCTAATGTCCAAACTTCATGTCTAAAGTAGTTATATAATTGGCCCTGCTTGACTAACATAGCCACCTCTTGACAATTACTGTTGCCAAATAAATGGAATACCATGGTTGGCCAGGCATGGTTTATGTGCCCATGCCTACAGGTATGGACTGAAGATCTGTAACCATTAAAAAGGAGATGAAAATACTTTCTTGGTACACAAAAATAATACTATAATAATGCTGCAACATTTAATTTAATTTAATTTAATGTTACAATTTAAGATTGTAACATGTACAATCTTAAATTAAGAAAATCCCACTGGTGATGGAGTTCAAAGTAAGCAGTCCATAGATGAACACTAAGGTTTAGGTGACTAGGTGGATGAAGTGCCTGCCATTCATTAAGAAATTAAGTCAGGAAGAAAAAGGTCAGGTGAGGGGCAGGTGAAGGGGACATAATGAGGACAATTTAAGACACACTGAGTAATAATGGACCAACTCCATAGACAGGCCAAGTGCCGATATCTAGATTTAGAGGCCTACAGTCAGGAAAGAGATAAAAGCTAGAAACATAAAGTTGGGACTTTTGTCACACAGGGGATAAGTGATGTCATGGGTGGAGATGAAACTGCTCAGAAAGAAAATGTGGAAAGAATAAAGAAGAAAAAAGACGAACAATAAAGAGGGCAAAAGACAGACTCCAAGGAATATCCTCATTATGCCTGAAGAAAACTGAAGCAGCAGCCCAGCAAGGAGGAGGAAAACTGGGAAAGCACAGAAAAATTCAAAAATTCAGAAAAAAATTCAAAACTAAAGGAATGGAAAAAGTATTAAGAGAAAAGTCAGCAGCGTTAAGTCCTACAGAGATGTTAAGTAAGATAAGGCCTGAAAAATCTCCCTATATTTGGCAATATGAAGGATATCAGTGTCCTTAGCAAGAACAGTTTCAATGGAGGATGAAAACAAAAAAACAAATAGCTATAAATTGATGATAATAATAAACCCTATTTCAAAAGGTTGTGGTGGAATAGGAGGAGTTGAAAGGGGAGGGCGAAGGGGGTGAAAATGATTGGAGTTCTTCACATCCATGTATGAAAACAGGTAAATGAATCTGTTAAAACTGTTCTTAAAGAGGGAGGGAAGAGAAGAAAGAGTAACAGAGGGAGTGAATTTGTTCAAAATACATTTTATATATATGGAAATACTGTAATGAAACCCCTTTGTACAATTAATGCACACTAACAGAAAAGGGGAAAGGTAATTGCGGGGACTAAAAGAGAAAATGTAGGTAAAGCCCATAGCGTTAACCTGGTACATACTAAATGCTTAATAAAGGATTGCTGTTGTTATGCTGTTACTGCATCTTTTATTCCTCACTTCTACTCCTTCAGGGGAAAAAAGGAACTGGCGCCCTCTCTTCCATCATTAGTAATTCTTCATGGAGAAGTCTGAGAACCACTGTAGAAGAAAGACATGCAAAAAACAGCACAGCACTTTTCAGCTGTGTTGAAAGTAGTTGGCTGCTATCACAGATTAAGAATAAAAGCATTTTGGACCAGGTGCAGTTGCTCACATATGTAATCTCAGTTTTCAGGAGGCAAAATCAAAGTCAGGGACCACCCAGGTAAAAAGCGGGAGACCCTATCCAAAAATAACTAAAGGAAAAAAAAAAGCTGATGGTGTGGCTCCAGTGATAGAGTACAGTACTGCTAAATAGATACAGGGTGATAGATACATAGAGAGAATAAAAATTAAAACTCTTTCAAATTAGAGCAGACTCACATTCATTCCTATAGCAGAGCCACTCTCAAGCACTCACTTTCTGACTTTGCATTCCTCAGAGGAAGAGAAAGAGGTGAGGCTGTCAGTAGCCAAAAGGAACAGCACATCATTGGGATACTCCGTGGGGGTAGGAGAGGGAAAAAACTTGACCTCATGTTCTGGTTTCCAGAGTGGAGGAAGTCCAGGCTCTCCACCAGGGTCCCCTTTGCAGAAGTTCTTTCCTCAAGCACAAAGTTGTATTTATAGACTAAATAAAAACAATAAATAAAGACCACCCCCAATGAGAACTCACTCTTGTAAAGGAATCAATCAGTCACTTACTTCAGCAGGAGAGTGGTTTGTAGTAGGGAAAAGGGAAGGCTCAGGTATGACCTGACTGAAGGCTGTCGGATAGAGAAGCCAGAGGTAGGCTAACTAGGAGGGGTCATCCTACCTGATGGTTAGGTTACAGATCTGGCTTTCTCTGATTGGTCCTAAGATGGAAGCAAGAACAAAAATTAGGGGAACTGGCACTTGTTGACCAAGTTCTAACCATTTGGAGCTGATTGCTGCAGAGGCTGTGATTTGGTTTCCTGGGCAATGGCTGCAGAAGTTTTGTTTCAGAGTTTTGTCGTTTTGTTTGTGTGTTGGTAGTGCTGGAGATTAAACCCAGGGCCTTGTACATGCTAGGCAAGCACTCTACCACTTAAGCTATGCCCCCAGCTCTTCTGTTGTTAGTCTGTTTTTGAAACAGGCTCTCACATCTACTTTTGCCCCAGCTGGCCTTGAACTACCAATCCTCCTGCCTCTGCCTCCCAAGCAGCTGAGATTACAGGCCTACACTACCACACCAGGATCTGAGTTCTATTTTTGCATAAGGTCAGGCCCTTTTCCTGGTATGTATCCAGCTTCTCAGAAACAAATCAGCCTGTAATCCCCTATTTTTTAAGGGGTGACTTGTGGACAAAGTGAAAGTCTGTTGTTGACATTTGTTCATCCAGTCAATAAGCAGTTTAAAGCAAATTAATAATGAAAATAAAATATTGCTGTGAACCAAAAACATCTTAAAAATAAAGATTACGAAAAAAATTAATTTGTAATGCCAAAAAGTACTTTACAGTATAGTCTAAGGCTTCCTTTAGTTCATGCCACTAGTCCAGTATCTTAGCTTTCTCACTGAGCAGAAGTGTAAGTTCCTTCTCTGGAAGGACAAAAGCAGAATCTAGGGCAACTCTGTGTGAATACAGGCGTTTGGCCCGGTCACCAGGGATGTCAAGTCTTTAAGAAATACTCAGAACCCGGTGGCGGGGCGGGGGGGGGGGAAGGGGGGATGCGGAGGTCAACGAAAAAAAGGGCACTGGTAGGTAGAGGGATTTAGAGCTGGGATTGTAAGCCTCAGAGGCAGAAGTGAATAGAGGTTATCAGCCTCTCGGCGCACCCACAGAACCAAGCCGATGACAGGCGTTTCTGCAGTTTATATTTCCGTTCTTCGCAAAAGATTAAGGGAGAGACAAGTAAAGGGAAACTATCGTAATTTTGAAAAACTAGCAGGTCTCAGTGCACGCTGCGTTGCTTTTTGATTTGCAGTTACAAAACTCTGATACACCACCAACCCGATCACTAGCCCCATCCTAACAGGAACCGAGGACCCCGCGTGTCACTAGGGGGACCCAATGGGTGACAGGCCAACGTCGTCCGTGTCCTGAGAGGCTCACGGCGCGGGCAGGGAGTGGACAAGACTCAGGTGCTAGAAGCGTGCGCGGCGGGCAGGGATTTACGGTAACTCGGGGGCCCCGCCGCCCCGCCCTCGTGCGCAGGCGCGGAGCCGTTGTGGGCCAAGCGGTTGCGGACCGAGCGGTTTGCAGTGCCGGGCAGGCTGCGGGCTGGACCGAGCGGCTCGCGTAACACCCCGGAGTCCGCCTTTCCGCCGTGCCTTCCGTAAGTCCGCGGCCCCGCAGGAGCAGCCGCCCGAGGTGCGCGGGTGTGAACAACTTGAGCAAAATCACGCATTTTACCGAAGGTGCTGAGCACCCTGCCTTGATGCTGGGTGCTCAGTGCGGAAGAGCGCCTAGGAGGTCCTGACCCCCCCGCACAGCGGAGCACCTCCCCGGGGGGAAACCGAGGCCCGACGTGGACCCCTGGAGGACTCCACTCTGGGCCCAACATGGAACCGAGACTGCTGGTCTCCGAGGAAACTGAGGCCGGGGGTGGGGGGAGCCTTGCGGAGGGGACTCGGCTCTGAACCTCAAAACCACTCCTCTCCCACCAGGCCAACAGGTGCCCCCAGCGCGGGGTGGGGGTGGGGGCGGGGAGCAGAGAATAGTACTGGAGGTCAGGGGGTCCCCTGGAGCTTTTCATGCAAAGTTCAACAGAGCCGCGCCTCCCCACCTAGGTCTCAAGAAATTGCCCCAAGTAGAAACTGGACTTTATCCCCCACTCCGCTCCTCCCCCGATCCTGGTCCCCAGCGGCCTCTTCTTGATGCCTAGGCTCGGTCGACATGAAACCTGTCGTCGTAATCCACGGTGGCGGAGCCAGCAACATTTCCACCGAAAGGAAAGTGCGAGTGCGCCAGGGCATCATCAAAGCCGCGAAGGAGGGCTACAACATCCTCAGACAGGGAGGCAGCGCGGTGGACGCTGTGGAAGGAGCCGTGACCATCCTGGAAAATGATCCCGAGTTCAATGCAGGTACACTGACTAATGCCAAATCAGGTTAAGCGCCCTCCTTGAGGCAGACTCTGTAAGGTGTCAGGGACTAACAATTGGCTTTGTGGTAAAACTAAATAGAGGGAGAAAAAACAGTATTTTAATTTTCTCATTCCGTGTTGATCAAACTGTTTTAAAAGTTTTTCATTCCATTGACTTGCCTTTTATTTAATCTACTTCCTAGAATTCACATACCAAAAGACTTTTTTATTACATCTTTTTGGGAGATTTGATATAGACAACTTTACATACCATAAACTGTACCCTTTTTAAGTTTTGAATAATGTATACAGGGCTGGAGGCGGGGCTCAAGTGATAGAGCACCTGCCTAGCAAGCCTGAAGCCCTGAGTTCAAGCCCCAGTTCCACCAAAAAAAATTTTAAAGTATATACCTATGTAACTACCAACACAACCAAGATTTAAAACATTTCAGTTATCTCCTGTAATATTGTGAGATTGTGAGAGAGTAAGAAATAATGTATTTGGTCTCCAACCCCACTTTCAGGCACATAGCCACAAAAACCCTTGTGATTTCCTAAGCAACAGAGGTGCTGGGAGAATTTTTTATTCTATTATTTGGTCTTTGACCCCAGCTCCTGACACAAAGCATCTAATCCCTTTAGAGTTTCCTGGGTGGTGGGAGTATCTTTCACCCTAATGAGGTGACTCTTGGTGGGCTCCTAGGTAGAGACTGGTCCCTATGCAGACCAAGCCATAATTAGAAGCTTGGAATTCACAACCCCTCCCCCACCCCATCCTCTGGGAAAGGAAGAGCAGCTGAAAGTAGTTAACAATCCATCACACTCATTATGAAGACTTACATAAAAATCCCTGAAGATAATGGTTGGTAAACACACTCATATACCTGGAGGGTGGCAAGCCCTAAGTCCGCAGACATAGAAGTCCCTAACACTGAGGTTTGCATAATAAACTGCTAAGTGTGTCTCCCTGAGTTCTGTGAGCCACTCTAGAAAATTAATCAAGCCCAAGAAAAGGGGGTTGTGGGAGCCTCTGGTTTGCAGCCACCTCGGGCAGAAGTTGTGGGAACATACTACTCATGATTGCCCCTAAAATGGGGGGAGGTAGTCTTGTAGAACTAAGCCCTTAACCTGTGGGATCCCACTCCGTAACTTCAGGTAGATAGTGTCAGAAGTGAACTGAATTGTAGGACACCCAGTTGGTATCTTCCAGAGAATTGATGGGGGGGTGACCCCACACTTGTGGTGTCAGAAGTGAAATATTGACAGTGAGTGAACCCTCAAAAGTTCCTTCATGCCACATTGCAATTACACCCTTTCAGCCCCAGCCCCCCATGTGCTTCTGGCACAAAAATCAGTTTGCGATTTCTAGAATTTCGCATAAATACAATTATGGAATGTTTTCTTTTGAATTTCATTTCTTCCACTTAATCCAACCATTTTTTTTAGAATACTAACATCATAATGAATATGAGTGTTCACTATATACCAGGCAATGGTCTAAGAAATTTGCATGATTAACTCATTTAATCTGTATTGTAATCCTGTGAGTTAGGTATAATTAGTATGCTTGTTTCTCAGATGAGAACATTAAAGCACAAAAAAACTGACTTGTTAGAAAACATTTATTTTCTTTTTATTCTAAAACAGAAAACCTAAGAGCTCAAGATTAAAGTAAATTCTTGGAATTACACCATCCACCCAACATCTGTCAGGGAAAAGAATTTTAAGAAATCTTAACCAGTTGTCAAATATTTATTGAGTATTTGTTTCATCTCCTTCACTCTGCTACACACTCTAACACTTAGAAAATTTTCGTAAGTCAGTTAGCTGCCCACAAAATGTGAGGTAAAAGTGTGCAATACCAGAAAGGGACCAATGTTGCCAACAGGGGGAAGCATCTGCCAGTTGTATGGGGATTTGCAAAACCTTATGCCTTTTAGCAGTCAGGGCTCTTGGCTGACAAAGCCTCACTTCTGGGACATTGGTTTGAAGCTACTCATTTTGATCTACCTCTGTCTGTAAGCTAACAGGATTCTCCTCCAAAGGCCCCTAATGGATCCTTCCTCCAGTTGAGGAACTACAGATTAGAGAACTCTTTGCTCTGTAGCCCAAGGCCTGCCATCTAAGTGTCTCTCCTCTCATTTACAGATGACTGCTGTTCAGCACACTGAGGGAGATAAATAGCACTGAAAAGAAGGAAATCAGAAGCAGGGGGAAATGGTGGGGCTGATAACAGCACACTGCCTACCTTGGCTCTCTTGTTCCATTTGTTTTTTCCAGATGAGGTCAATACAAGCAAATGGTCCCAGCAGCCTCTGCTATAATCCTCTAGAATGTGATAACTTTGTACAAAAAGCTGACTCCAAGTAGTTACTGAGTTCCATGGCAATAATTAGCATTCGTGACACCTTATCCGAATCTGTAAAAACATTGTCTATGTTTTTATTAAAACTTGTTCCATAATACTTAGTTAATGAAAAAGTACTTTATTTGTTAGATGTCAACACTGTAAAAATTGAACTTTGAGATTTGAGTGATAGATTTTTTTTTTTAATAGGCTAGGAGGTAGCCTCATTCATTGCCTAGACTAGCCTCAAACTCCTGAGCTCAAGTGATCTTCCTACTTCAACCTCCTGAGTAGCTGGGATTACAGGGAGCACATTATTATGTCCGACTTAAAAATATTCTTTTTTTAATTGTTTTTCCCTCTTTTTTTATTGTTGAGCTGGGTTGGGGGTACACTGTGGCAATTTATAAAAGTTTTTACAATATATCATACTTGAATTTGCCCCCTCCATCATTCTCCTTTATTCCCCCCCCATTCCTGGAATAGTTTCAACAGGTATCATTTTTCCATTTACATGTATGTGTACACAGTGTTTGCACCATATTCACTCTCCTACACCCTTTCCCTACCTCCTCCCCCTCCCAGTGGTACCAACCCCCCAAAAAGGACCTGTTTTGCCTTTCTGTTCTCTGATTTTTGTAAAAGGAAGAAAACTGACATTTTTGTTTGTTTAAGATAGCTACACAGGGAGTATCCTTGTGACATTTCCATATATATATATGGCCCAAATTGGTTTGTCTCCTCTATTTTTCTCCTTTCTACCTTAGTCCTCTTCTTTTGATAATTTCAACAGGTTTAAAAATTCTATTTTCATTCTTATATAGAGAGTATATCAACCATATTCATCTTTTAACTTCCTTCTTTTATCCCCCCCATCTCGTATGTGACCTCCCCTTAGCATGACCTGTTTTTTATAATATTTCTGTATTTGTATCAGGCCTATATTCACATGTTTCTCATGAGAGAGAACATGAGGCTTTTGGCTTTCTGAACCTGGCTAACTTCACTTAAGATGATATTCTCCAGTTCCATTCATTTACCTGCAGATGACAAAATTTCAATCTTTTAGCTGAATAAAATTCCATTGTATATAAGTACCACATTTTCTTAATCCATTCATCAGTCAACTTAGAAATATTGTTTAAAGACTCACTTACATTGGCAACCAAATATGAACCTTTGTATTTACTGGAGTTGAGCAATATTTACTTAACACTTCAGATACTTATTCTCTCTACAGTTTGATATTATAAACTGTCAAAGAGTCTTTGAGATAACAGAATTTTTTCTTTATCCACTCTGAATTCCTTATAATATCTGTAACTCCTTATAACATTTATAGCTCCTTTATTATCCATAAGGTAAAAAAAATATGATGGGGGTCTACAGATTTTTGGATTTTTTTGTTTTGAAGACTCCTAGGTGACTCTGGGGTGCATCCAGGTTTAAAATCCAGTCACCTTAAATACAATGCAATTTTAATGGTTGTGGTTTTTATCTAGTATAATTTATATAGAATAATATCCTCTTTTTTAGCATATAATTTCATGACTGTGACAAACACAGACATGGGTTAACCACCCTGACTTTGTCACATCCCTTTGAGTCTATATCTGCATTCACCCCAGACCTCCAGCAACAACTAATCTGTTTTCTGTCCTGCTAATTTTGCCTTTTCCAGAATGTCACAAATGGAATCATGTGATCCCAGCCTTTTGAGTCTGGGATCTTCTCTTATCATAAGTGTCATCCATAGTGTTGCAGGAATCTCAAATAGAACGGGACACCGAGGCAGACCAGCAGAAAGCAACCTTTTATTGTGTCAGCACAGACTCAGCAGACCCGAATCCAAAGTCTGAGCCCCGAGAACAAAGGGATCTCACCTTATACACCCTTGCAAGCAGGTTACAGAAGCAAAAAGCAAGGTCTAACCCATATGTGGTTGCATGCAACTCTATTGCCTACTTCACCCCCAGTGCTACATGACCTTCCTCATGTTTAGATTCTTTAAGTTTTATCTCCCTGCTATGCTGTCCCCTATCCCCTGCTACATTATTAGGACACAGACTTGCTTGCTTCTTTTCTGGCTCTCCTCCCTGCTACATTATTCTCCCCTTTGATGCTCGGACCCACCTATGTCCAAAGAGCATCATACTGATTTAGGGGTTTATATTTCCACAGCATCATTATATGGGCAGACATTTTTCTTCTATAGTGGCCTCCATATGGTCCTGATAGACCACAGTTCTGGAGAACCAGGCAGGGTAACATCAGACAAACTCCCAGGATTAACCCACCGCTCCTTTCAGAGTTTTGAATCCCCCCAGGGCAGAGAACCATCTGCCAAACAAATTGTCTGGGTCCCATCCTTTTCACACCTGTATGAGTACATGTGCCATCTTTCTAATATTAGTGGCAACTTCCGTTACTGCTTGACCATTGTCATCTCTGTGGAGGCAACAGTCTGATTGGTTGAACTTGCCACTCCTCAGCTAGAAGATAATCCAAGGCCAGTCGATTTTGACATACAGAGGCTCACATTTGGGTCTGTTGCTTGGCCAGTAGATCTAGGGCAGAGGCAGTCTGATTGGTAATAATTTTCATGACTACCTGTAACCTAATGATTCTGTTGAGCACGTAGATAGGAGTCCAGT